CCCACCCCAACACCACCATCCCCACCCCAACACCACCACTATCCCCACCTCAACACCACCACCATCCCAATCCCCACCACCATCCCCACCCCAACACCACCACCATCACCATCCCCACCCCAACACCACCACCATCACCATCCCCAACACCACCACCCCAACACCACCACCACCATCACCATCCCCACCCCATCACCAACACTACCACCATCACCATTTTATGAAGGGCATATAGTGTTACTCGTTTTGTCCCCTCCCGTTTCAATTCAACTGTCATCGCTCTAGTGACGTCCACTTATTAATGGATTTTTATCAAACTTAATACAATTACAATGTACCATAAATGATTTCTTGTATCAGGGTCCCAATTGTCAAGGCAAAGATCATGGTTTGTTATTTATGGAAAGTGATGTGCGTGAACATGAAATTGATTTATGAATACGACCCCAGGAAAAAAAGTTATTTTCAAAGAGATCTTAATGTATCTGTTTCATACAGTCCTTCAGCAGCATTGACACATACATTCGTATTGTGTGTGAAGGTACTATGACAGATTAAATTTGTATTGTGTGTGAAGGTACTATGACCGATTAAATTTATATTGTGTGTGAAGGTACTATGACAGATTAAATTCGTATTGTGTGTGAAGGTACTATGACAGATTAAATTTGTATTGTGTGTGAAGGACTATGACAGATTAAATTCGTATTGTGTGTGAAGGTACTATGAAAGATTGATTTGAAATGTTCTATTTTCTCTGGAAATGTTTTTAACAGGTGTTAGTGAGACAGATGACTCTGAGCAACTGAAGCGTATGAGTGTTGCTAAGGAGGCTCTGGTGTCCAAGGAAAATATTGCTGACGATACGATCACGGACGAGGAATGGAATGTCATTAGTTCTCAAGGGTATATTTGAAATAACGAATATTTTAGTAGATATTTACCTGTTTTTTAGCCATAAATAATAAAAAAATGATTTCATATTAAAAGCAACATATTTCATATAAAATCGTTTACAAATTAATTCTTTTTTTCATGAAACATTCTATCAAAAGTGTTACATTCATTACATCATATATATTTTATATAACATTCAAAATAGTTTTGTGTGAATTTTTGTTCATGACTCTTTAAGTTTCACAATAAAAACAAAAAGTTAGTTAGCCTGATTTTTTTTATGAAAGATGTTCTTATCATATGAAAAGATAATTTACTGTAATTTACATTCAGTTATTTAATGAATATCTTCGGAATCTGTATTTTAGACCAAGTGAACACAATGACAAAGAAAAACTTGTCCATTCTGAAGAGTGTGAACTTGTGACCTTGGTAGATGTCATCAAAGGTCGTTTGGAGGTCACCACTACACATGTGTACTTCTTCGACTGCAGCTCTAACAAGGAGGAAGGTAAGAGTGGCCTCCCCTTAGGATTATTACATTTTCAATGTCGGATGATTTCCTTTTCAAAAGAGATTCACTTTACCATTTCACCCCTATGTAACTTTAATTAACCCTACCATGCATTGATCTGGATAAGTCCATTATGGTCTACAGTGGTGAAAGGGTTAAAAACCTAAAACTAGCTTTTATAAATTGTAATCTAGACTTGTTAAATTATCAATATTTAATATTTGTTATACTGCAAAGGATAAGTCATTTTGGAAAGTGTGCATTAATTTTATAAAACACAGGTAAATCTGAATAAAATGTGAAGTGGATTTAATGTTGTAAAACCATACTGTTTGCCCAGTAAATACATCAGAATAAAATCCTTAAAAGAAAACATATAGTAGCTAACTCATAGAATGTGATGAATGAATTGGGGTACCATTTTTCAAACTTGTGTATCATTTGACATAATGTATGTGTTGGAGTGTTGGAGGTGAGTGGTTCTTAGAGTTGACTGAATATTAATCCTTTATCAATCTAGTAGAGTATTTAGATTAAATGTCAGTAGTTCAGGACCGGTATTCATTAAACCGTTTTCATGCTCAAGCATGCATTCTATGGTCAAACCAACTTTCTTGTAACTTGCTTAAGTCATGTCAAACGATCGAAAAGTCAAATATAAAAATTGAAAATAGTTTTCTGCTTTAAGTCTCTTCAATGTTTTCCAAAATCGTTTAAGATTTTCTTAGTATGTTATAGCTGGAACAAGAAACTCGGCTTGAGCACAAAATCCATGCTTGAGCATGAGAACGGTTTCATGAATACGGACCTTGGTCTGTAATAGAAATCACCAGAGAAATATAATGATTTCATTTCAGGAGGCGAGGACTTCAAGTGGGCGGTGTCAAAACTGAGAGAAATCCATTTCCGTCGCTACAACCTGCGGCGCAGTGCCTTAGAATTGTTCCTGGTTGACCAAACTAATTACTTTCTTAACTTTCAGCCAAAGGTCAGTATTCTATATATATATCATTACACCATGCAACCAGCTCTAGTGTCAGAAAATTACATATCTTGTGTTTCAAGTGTAATGTAGGCTCGGACACCCGAAATGTTAAGGGTTTGCATTCAAATATTCTTCAGAGTGATTTATACAATTTATGTAAAGGTATCTTTCCCATTGGAGACAATTCAAATTGTGGTTTAAAGTTTTTTAAAGAAAACCTCTATTAAGATTTTTTTTTTTTACCTCATTTAGTGATAAACCAAATTTGTTCCATTAAATTTCTTTTCCTAATAAGCCATCCCCACTTTTTTTTTTTAAATATATATTTATCAAGGGGGGGAGGAGAGGGGGAGGGGGTTGTAGAATAAATATGGTATTGACCTCACTGAATTATTACATGTGGAATTGTTCCTACAAATACCTGGAATGTATATATGTTATGCCTCTGCTTGTTTCTGAGGGGCATTTAGTGTTCCTACGAAAAGATAAAACTAAATGTACATGAAAGGGAGGGGGGCGGGGGATATACATATTTTTCATTTTTTCTAAAAAAAAAAATATATATATTCAGAAAGAAATTCTAAGATGTTTACTTATCAGATCTGAAACAAAGTGTATAGCGGTTTGTTTACTTTGCAGGTCCGAAACAAGGTGTATAGCCGTATCCTAAGTCTCCGTCCACCAAATCTTATCTACTTTGGATCACGGTCTCCGGCCGAGCTGCTGAAGTCGTCTGGTCTTACACAAGTATGTCATGTACTGGCAGAAACTATTTGTACATCTGTTTTCCTGAGCTAAATCGGGGGCAGAAAATATTCGTACATCTGTTTTCCTGAGCCAAATCAGAGCACTGAAAATATTTGTACATCTGTTTTCCTGAGCCAAATCAGAGCACTGAAAATATTTGTAATTATTACATCTGTTTTCTGAGCCAGATCGGAACACTGAAAATTGATAGTATTACCAGTAGGCTGTAATTTATCTACCCTCAATCAGTGATTTTTTAAAAATTTTACTGAACATGTCAGTTCTTGTATTGCTAGTATCAACTGTCATTATTTCACCCTTGCCCAATATGGGCAAACTTATATCTAAATTTTTCTGCCCTTGCACATATGAAGATGTCAATTTAAACTAATCAAATTTTCCCCCTTGCACAAGCAGGCAATTTCCACACCAGATGATTAGCTTGTAGAATATATCCTACAAGTAGGGTAGCCAACAGGAGGCTGAAATTGATTTCATGGAATAAAGAATTTAGAGAGATGAAAATATTCCATGAGACTATCAACATACCAGGTACTATTGTCAATGATTGTTGTGACTCAGATGTTTGAGTCCTGAACTCACACTTTTTCTTTGGGACTCGCCGTCATCTTAAGAACCAACTGGACTCAAACTGAAATAGTTGTTAACTCATTCACCCCTGAAGACACATTTGAACTCTTCCAATTCAAAGGTTGGAATAGTTCATTATGAAATTTTCGCCCTGAGGTGAATGAGTTAAATTTTGCACTTATAGCAGAATGTGTGGATACTTGGATACCATATAAACCTTGATTGCCTTCTTGAATTGTTTTCTTACAAGATTTCTTGCAAATTATAATTTTAGTTTTATATTGCCTTGTAAAATGGAAAAGTATTGGTTGAATATTTTCTTCCTTTTCCCCCCCACAGAAATGGGTACAGAGGGAGATTTCTAACTTTGACTACCTAATACAGCTCAATACCATCGCAGGCAGGACTTACAACGACCTCAGCCAATACCCTGTGGTAATGTTGCGTAGAGTTCAAAGACATGCCAGTTTATAATACAGTTTTTAAAGACAGCGTGTCAGAGAAGTCAGTTTAAAGAATAATTTTGTCCTTAATAACAGTGTGTCAGTAAAGTCAGTTCAAAGACAAAGAAACAAGCCTAAACATTGTATCAAACATTATACAGGTTGTATGCAAAGTCAGGTGTCAGTATACTCAGGTGTCAATAAAGTCAGGTTCACTGGATATTACAGGCTGTATGCAAAGTCAGGTTTGCCTGTATATTATAATGTCAGGTGTTGGTAAAGTCAGGTTTCAATGTATATCTGTAAGTTCATGGCAATTTTCAAAGAAATATAGATGTAAGAATACAACGATATGAGAAGTTATTGTATATATAAACTTTATTTTTTTTGTATCAGTTTCCATGGATACTTAGTGACTATACCTCAGAAACACTTGACTTGGACAATCCAACTGTCTTCCGAGATTTGTCAAAGCCTATCGGAGCTGTGAACGCAAAGAGCACGGAGAACGTACGAGAAAAGTAGGTCATGTCAATTCAAAGCCTATTGATCTCTGAAGACTTACTTAGTGTTTAGTTGACATTGGTTAAACTTTGTATCTCAAGGTACCATGTGTTGGAAACATAATCATGGTCTTCAGGTTTTGTTGCTGAAGACAGCTCTTTAAAAACATCAAATGAGACACATTTTGATCCGGATAAGAAAGGTGATCAGAGGCAATAGATTGAACACATTGGGCTTCATTTACTGCAATCGTATTCATAGCATTAATACCCTAGAAAAATAATACCTGTCCAGACATTTTTTGTCGTGAAAAAAATGAGGTTCGTTGGTGAGCCCTACATTTTCAGTATGTTTATGATCTTAATCAGATATTGATGTTGTGTCGGTGTTCATTTCATCATTTAATCTTTTTTTGCAGATTTGAAACGTTTGAGGACCCTTCAGGAGTGATTGAGAAGTTCCACTACGGCACTCACTACTCAAACGCGGCCGGCGTGATGCATTACATGATCCGAATGGAACCGTTCACTGGATTACATATACAGCTTCAGAGTGGCAGGTAAGTTTAATCTGGTTATCTCCCCTTACACTTGGTAGGTAGGGTCCACTATAATTTATCATATTGAGGTTTATCCTGGGTATCTCCCCTTACACATGGTAGGTAGGGTCCACTATAATTTATCATATTGAAGTTTAGCCTGGTTATCTCCCCTTACACATGGTAGGTAGGGTCCACTGTAGTTTATCATATTGAGGTTTATCCTGGTTATCTCCCCTTACACATGGTAGGTAGGTTCACTGTAGTTTATCAGGCTGAAATGATCCAGGTGGCAAAGAAAAGTTATGTGTTGAACTCTTTGACCAGAAATGGACTGAACTTGTATAGACAAAGCTCGAAAATGCACTGTTTCATAATTTTCTGTCAAATGAATAGCGATATAGAAAAATCTTTATGGTTCTTTCTCCTGTGTACCAAATTTGAAAACATTACCAAATAAAGTGACCTTATTATCCCCCGCTTTCACCGAAATGGGGGATATTGATTTGGGTTTGTCCATCTGTCTGTCTGTCAGTCTGTCTGTCTGTCTGTCACGCTTCATTTCTGTGCAATCACTGCAACAAATGTTAACCGATTTTCTTCAAACTTGGTAACAGGGTTAAATGCCTTAAGGGCTCGGTTCGGCCAAGTTCAATGACCACGTTCAGCGGACTATATTTGGCGGAGTCATGGCCCCTTGAATAACGAAAAACGTCATTATCTACCGTTTCTGTTCATTAACTCTAGCAAATATTATCTGATTGTCTTCAAACTTAGTAACAGGCTTCAATGCATTAAGGGCTCGACCAAGTTTGACTACCACTTTAATTGGACTCCATTTGGCGGAGTTATGGCCCCTTGATTAATTAAAACATCATTTTCTGCAGTTTCTGCTTAATAACTCCAGCAAACATTAGCCGAATTCCTTCAAACTTGATAACAATGTTTGTGTTCCTCTGTCTTTCCACCACTCTTGGGCACTCTTTGGTTTTCGTGTGATAATTGCTCTAGATATTGTGCAGGTATTCAACCAAATTCCGTATGCACATCCGACTCATGCTAAGTTTGCCAACCGATGTGATTTGTGCATATTTACGGATAATTAATGAAGTTAGTAAATTTTGATGGATTCAACGATTAATTTACACCGCAATACCTACATGTTCTGTATAAGAATGTTTACCTACAATATGTCTTGTAAGCTGGGGATATAAATTTCATGAATTTGCTTATTACATTGAGGTTTATCACGGTTACCTACCCTTTACACATCAGGCTGAAATGATCCAGGTTGCAAAGAAAAGTTATGTGATGAACTCTTTGACCAGAAATGGACTGAACTTGTATAGACAAAGCTCAAAATGCACTGTTTCATAATTTTCTGTCAATTGAATAGCGATATACCAAGAAATCTGTATGGTTCTTTCTCCTGTGTACCAGATTTGAAAACATTACCAAATAAAGCGACCTTATTTTATGTAGAAATATCACTACCTAGCAATAGTCAACTGCTTAGTTTTGTGGCCTGGCATGATTTACACGCTAAATTTGAGAGGTCAGCGTCATTCTCGGTCTGTGTCTATAGTTTTCTTTTCCAGTTCAACCAGTTTAAATAATTGAACTTGTTATACAAAAGCAGCCTTGGTGTCCCCTCTCAGACGGCAGGAAGGAGATCCCTTCCTTCTCCCTAACACATTCTAAGTCTTGCTGTGAACAAAAGAATCTTATACTCCTGTTGATATGATATGGACTTTATTCCAGGTTTGACGTGGCTGACCGACAATTTCACTCCGTAGTTGCTACATGGTCAAGTCTGATGGACAACCCAAATGACGTCAAGGAGCTTATCCCCGAGTTTTACTACCTCCCCGATTTTCTAGTCAACAACAACGGTATGTCTGGAACGAGTCAATAGACAATCAGGATTTTAACCTCCAGTGGTCTTTTTCAATCTCAGAACTACAGAATAACTTGATTTGGTAAAAAAAAAAAAAAATCAAAACAATAAATTGTTTTACATACTGTCTTTTAAAAGAGTTTGGAAACGAGCACATTTCTATTTCTTAATTATCTAAATCAGTCATCTGAAACTTGGGTACTCAAATCAGGAGGTCCTAGAAATGTTTACGTGTATATGGGTTTGATGATTTAGTTAGAAAAATAGTGATTATGTAATTCAGGACTTAAGTTATTATTAGGGGTTTTGATCAACAGATCAAATTCTGCTAGAAAAAAAAAGTGCTGTTTTCTTTGTCCTTAACTGATTTTAAAAAGAGAAAAGAGAAATATGAATATTTTAAAAATTTGCTGATTCTGAAGCATACATTGTTGGGTTTTTTTAATCTGTTTTCAGTGTTGGTTATTTTTGTTTATGAAATTAATTCTCTTTTTGAAACAGGCTTTGACCTGGGTCTTCTACAGATATCTAGGGATCGTGTGGATAATGTGATTCTACCAACCTGGGCCAAATCTCCCGAGGATTTCATATGGAAACACAAGCAGGCATTGGTTAGTAAAAAAAGTCAAAGTTCAGAGTCAACAAAATATCATGGCTACTGTTGTCAGGGTGACCAAAGGCCATAGGTCATCAAAGGTCATAGTTGCTAAAGATGGAGGTCACCAGAAAGTTATGGCAACTAATGACCAGGCTAACCAGAGGTCATAGTAACTAAAAGTTGGGGTCACCACAGGTCATAGGTCACCATATGTCATGACTAGTGTAGGTCAGGGTCACCTTAATTTCATGGCATCTAATTATAAAGGTCAGGGTCGCCACAGATATGAAGTAAACGATGCTTAATGTCAAGGTCACCAGAAGAGTTATTTCCTTTCATTTCATGTCTGTAGATTTCATTAATAAACAATTTAACTTTTGAACTTTATGCTTTTGGATATGCATTGTAGACAAGGTTGTGAGTTCACAGTGACAAAATTTGAATGTATAAGCTTACTTATTACCTGTGATTTTTCAAGTAAATATTTTAACAATTCTAATTTCTTTTCAAGGAGTGTGAACATGTGTCCAGTAACCTACATAACTGGATAGATCTGATCTTTGGGTACAAACAGAAGGGACCAGCAGCTGTAGAGGCCCTCAATGTCTTCTACTACTGTACTTACGAAGGTAACTACGGAAACCAGGGAAAGTTTGCCTGGCTTTGTGTTATCTCCCAGATAGGTTACAACATTTTGTTATCTCCCCTTGTAGATTACAACATCTGCAATTTATTAAGGATTGCCTTATAGTAATCCAGGTGTCTGTCTGTCTCTGTTCGTCCACATTTTTAGGAGATTGTTTTGGAATAAAAAGAATCTTAACTTTATGAAATTTGACATGGTGAAACACTGTGATGTAAATTTGCAATAAGGGGTTTAAAATGTCTCTAAGGTGTAGCACAGCAAGTGTTACGACGTTATGTAATAGATTACAGCCAGTGTTACGACGTTATGTAATAGATTACGTGCATCGAGAATACCTTGGTCAATCCAGGGTTGCGAAGATATAATCTAAAAGTCTCAACTGACCTTCTATTCTGTGGGGCTTATGGACCCTTGAATATTGGCTAGCTTTATTTGCTAGCTTTGATTATGAGTATAGGGAATAGCTCGGACAACGTGGTGTAATGATTACGTATATCAGGGAATAGCTGTGAATCCAGGTTTCATAGGTATGATCTTCAAGTCTTGACTGACCATTGATGCACGCGGCAACAGATTATAACGGGGTATAACTATAACCTCGAAAGGTAAGAGGGAGCAGAGCAAGGGACAGCTAGAGGATAGACCAGAAGGGCTAGGGACAGCTAAAGATGGGCTAGAACAAGTACAGGTAGAGACAGCTCGGAGACGACTGAGAGCGAGACCAAACGATAGAGACCGATCCTAATACTTGATGTTACCAGAATAAACTTTTAACCAACCATCAACCCCTGTCACTCGTGTTGTGTTACAAAGGTCAAGGTCACACCTGCTAAAAATAGACCTTGTGGGGGTACAGCCGGTATCCAGAGAGTTTTTAAGATCAATGTAGGATTTGTTGTAAATTTCTGTCCTTTGTATAAACTGGCCTCTTTCATAAAAATGCCCCTTTAAAACATTTGAATACTTACTTAGTAATGTGTCATGCAATATTGTAATACATGTATTTTCACTTCTCCGTTTAGCTTTTGAAAAATAAATTCACCCAGTTGAACTTTCCGCCAAATTATTTTATTAAACGATCTAAATATATTGTATTATAAATGTTTTAGTGTGATAATAAAACAGGGGTAAACATTTAGTTTGATCTGTACTGCCATGCTGTTTTCGTTACTTATCGCCAATAGAAATGCCATCAGGAAACCACCTGGACATGAGCTAGCTTTTCATTAGCTATAGTTATTTAGAAATGCCAAATGAAAGCCCTGTGTTTACGTTAAGATTGACCATGGCAGGGTTTGAGTCGAGACCATGGACCATGACTTTGCTGACGTATAATATATTGATTCTGTTCACTGTATAGGGTGTGATGAATCTTGACTGGGCTAAAGTGTAATGTTGATTCTATTTGATATACTAGGTGCTGTGAATCTTGACTGGGCTAAAGTGTAATGTTGATTCTATTTGATAGACTAGGTGCTGTGAATCTTGACTGGGCTAAAGTGTAATGTGGATTCTATTTGATACACAAGGTGCTGTGAATCTTGACTGGGCTAAAGTGTAATGTTGATTCTATTTGATAGACTAGGTGCTGTGAATCTTGACTGGGCTGAAGTGTAATGTGGATTCTATTTGATACACTAGGTGCTGTGAATCTTGACTGGGCTAAAGTGTTATGTTGATTCTATTTGATATACTAGGTGCTGTGGATCTTGATGCCATCAAGGATCCGCGTGAGAGGAAAGCATTAGAAGGCATGATCAACAACTTCGGTCAGACACCATGCCAACTGCTGAAGGTATGATGGGCCAAAGTTGCAATTACCAATTCTAAGAAAGTTTCTGTCGGTGTTGTAGTCTAGAAAGTCAAAGAATTGAACACCAGTCGACCAGTAGATTCAGGTTCTCCTTACCATATTGATCTAGCAATAAGCCCATTCCTGGTAATAAGCCCACCCATATTTATTGCAGTTCAGAAGAAATGCTAACAAATGCTATTTCATTGTCCTGTAATAAGCCCATCCCCCACAGAGACGGAGATTATATGTTGGCATCCCTGGGTATATGGTAGGATAACTTTGGAAATATAGAAAATGTAAGTTGCTTATTTACATGCAGGCCGGGATGAAATCAGTGCTTGGTTGTGTGCCAGTGTTAAAATGGCCCCAAACTAGTAAAACTTTGTTAAATTGTTACTATTTGTCTTTCAACAAATTGGCATTATAAAGGGGTTTGGCAATTAAGTATGAGAAACGGGATGTGCAGTGGAAGTGTGAAGAGATGAACTAAAGGAGAATTTAATGGCAGTAAGCGAAGTTACAAATTCAATGAGGAGGAGCATGATATTACCAAGGTTTTAAATGAATTAACAGTATACAAAACAGAAATGAAATAAAAAACTAGGAGGGTGTCAAATTAATAAAATTGGTAATTACACAGAGAAACTATCTGGTCTTTGCTAAAAAATTGCTTGTCAAGCTATCAAAAATAACAGATAAAAAGGTTTTAAAATATCACAAATATGAACAGGTCATAAAACAAGCTATAAGAAAAATTAACTGCCAAAAGAAAATCACTGTTAAATTAATATTATATAATATGAAACTGTGATTAAATATTTATGGTTTTCAGATTTAATGTGAAGCCATGAATAAAATCAACCTACTAAATATAAATAACAATATGTAAAGTTGGTGATGGGAGGGGTGGGGGTCATACTGGAATCACCCTGCCTGTCTGTCCTTTTGGATGTCTGTTGTCCGCAAAATCACCAATTACAACGAGAAAAATTACAAATATCATTACTACTCCCTGATGTTGTGCATCCAGGTATTATTTTTTCATCCTGCCCGTTTCCTGCCGAGTTATGGCTGTTTGTCAAAAAATCCTTGTCCGGACAACTTTTCTTAAACTACTGGGCCAATTTAAAACTGTTAGGCATATCTTGATGAAACTTCACATAAGTAACAATGGGCATATGTAGTTGTGCATTAAAGTATTTATTTTCAGATCGTTCCCATGGCAACCACACGGCACAGAGGCTTTTGATTGCTTGAAATATTGTTCGATTCCACTCAAATTTAGTATATAGGTGCATTGCGGTCCTTTTCTGATGCATCTTTGTGACTATGGGGGCAGTTTGGTCCCCCATTACAACTACTACTTGTTATTTTAATCAATTTAATTGGTTGATTTGATGTTTTGAATGACAGGAGTCCCATCCTCGAAGGATGAGCTTTGATGAAATGGTGGCCAAATCAATAAAGATGGATAAAGCTCTGAATGTCTTCTTCTTCCTCAACCAACTCAAAGTTTTCTTTGTGGAGGTAAGTGATTGGTTGGTTAGGTGCTTTTCCTGTTTTACAGACACAAGGTAGTCTAGTGGTAGGATGCTAGGATCGTGACCGAAGGGTCGCGGGTTCGAGGCACGGCACTGTGTTGTATCCTTGAATAAGATACTTTAATCTGCTTGTTCAAGTCTACTCATCAGCTGTAAATGAGTATATGGTTGGGCAGTGCTGGAATTGTTGAATGCTAGCTGTGAGCGTCTAAATTGCAGCACCGTCTGTATGCTCCCCAGGAAATTGAGAAAGATGTTTGCTGGTTGCAAAGGACCTATAACCACTGATAATAATTTGTGAACCGCTTTGAGACGACTTACATGTAGGCTGTGATAAAGCGGTATATAAGAACCTCAAATTACTATTAATTCAAAAATATCTATTTTTAGTAACTATAGGCAAGATATAGAATAATACTGCTGAAAGTCAGATTTTTTTTGTCAATTTAGTTTTAAGATTTTTGGCAGTAGTGTTTGAATGACAGTTTAGATCACATTAGAATTTGTTTTGAATTTCATGTTACAAATTCTATTAGACTTGACTTGAAGTGATAATTTCAAGTCTTAGAAATGTTGTGGTGTTTTTCTATTCATGAAGGTGCAGCATACTTAGAGGCATCACGATTCACCGCGATGCATTTGTACAGCGATACACCCCAAATTTAGGGCCCACAACCCCTTAATTACAGAGTTATTGCCCTTTGCTAAAATGTCGTGTCGGGAGTATAGCTTAACCCGCATTTAAGGTAGGATCTTGAAACTTTCACTTGGTATGTACATTAGTCATACTAAGTAAATGTGCGCAGTACCAAATTCAGGGCCCACAACCCCTTAATTACAGAGTTATTGCCCTTTCCTAAAATATCGTGTCCGGAGCATAACTTTGCCTGCAGTTAAGCTAGGATCATGAATCTTGGTGTGTGAATCAGTCGCACTAAGATGATGTGCACTGTATCGTATTCAGAGTCAGCTGCACCTTTGATAATAGAGTTAATGCCCTTTGCTAAAATATCAGAAACATACACATGTATGTATGTTTAAACATTATTTTTCTTCTGCCAAACTCCCCATTTCAACATATTTTTACCAATATTTGTGATAACTTTAACCAAATGCAAAATTTACAAACAGGAAAAGCCTCCAATAAAGTTTTTTTGGAGCATACATCAGTTCCACTGATACTCTTGTTATATTTAAAGTTAGAGCACATAAAATGACCTCCATAGAAATGTGTAAAGGTTGGCAAATGTGGAACAAGTTTGCTGGATTTTCTGTTTGTGATGTTAAAATAATGATAAATGAACAAAAGAAGGTCATTTTTAGTCAAGTAAGGAACACACAGATGTCGGGACATAAGTAAGGAAATAATTCTTTTACAGGTTTCCATGGAAACGGATCCCCTGGTCTACATCAGCGTTCCTCGAAATCAGGCTCGGTCAATCATACAGCATGGCATGCCAGACACCATGGTGAGTACAGATAGTTTGTTGGCTGAAAAATAGGCATCATAGAAAACGAGAAATATCTTAAAAAAGAAGATTAACAGCAGACCTTTGGATTTTGGAGGTAACAAACCTGGAAACCGTCCCGTCTCTGTGAAATGTATTAATATTACATTCTTTATTGAAAATAAACAGATCAAATTAAAGGTTGCTAGGGTTATAATGCGACAGAAAAGGTTGATAACATTAAGAAACAAATTAAAAGGAAAGATAAGAAAAATTGGAAACTTCTGATGTCAGCAGACACATGTTTTTTGTTGTTTCGGGGTGCTTTGTTATAGATGAGCAAGCCAACATACCCGTGATTTACCTGCTTTTTAATACTATTTTCTATCCTGTATCTAAATCCTTTTACGTGCATTGTCTGAGTCAAATGATCAAGGGGAATCCCAGCTTTGCAGAAGGAATCTCAAGAAATTTTATGTAGCTCTGTAGAAAAAAAAATCCTGGGCGAAAAGGAAGACAAAATTTTAGAGATACTTCAAAATAATAAGTTCTTCTCAATGGAATCAGTTGTTAGATGAAGTTTCAAATAATTCCTTGGATAGTTTGGCATTATAATGTAAACGATTGAATTACACTGACATAAGTTGTATTAAGAGATTCTATTTATCGGGTGTTATTTTCAGGTGACTGTTTCCGAGGAGGGAATTGTGGGAATGCACGGCTGGCTGCCCTATGATAAATCCATCTCCAATTATTTCACCTTCGACAAGGACCCTGCTATCGCAAACTCCAAGTACGTGCAAAGAGATACACCAGGAATTATTCTCTGCTCAAGTTACATTTGTCAAGTGGTTTCTGTTTTGTTTGACTTTCGTTTCTAGAGCATGAGTTGTGACAGTTAACGCTTCGATTGGAGTTCTTTGCCTCAAAAGAAGTTTTTATTTTTGCTACCGAAGTGTTGCATTGTTACCATCTTATTATGTTGATTGCAGGGTGAAGCGCAGAGTAGCAGGACCATTTGCCCCCGGCGTGAAGGTTGAGGCAAAACTATTTGTCGTATCCCATGATGCAAAGCTGCTGTTTAGTGGGGGTCACTGGGACAACAGTTTACAGGTCTACCACCTGGGGAAGGGAAAAAAGATCAACCATGTTGTCAGACACATAGGTAGGTCAAGGTCATGTTTTTAGCATAGAAAGGTCATTGTTTTAAGTGTACAATGCTGGGAAGGGTGTAAAGGTCCACAATGTCGTTACACACATACAAAATGTAGGTAAGTCAAGGTCACAGGTTAAATGTAATACCATGTAAGGTTATTGTTTTAAGTGTACAATGCTGGGAAGTGTGTAAAGGTCCACCATGTCCTCAGGCACATACTAGGTAAGTCCATACATTTCTCCTTGCAGAAATATGATATGTTTGCTTTTGTTTCATATCTTACAAAACATGTATGAGACATTTTTTGCAGCAGATATTCTGATTTTTTTTAGGCCATTTTATATCTTACCTGTACATTTATTACTGCAGATGTTGTGATATGTTTTTTCTGCCATATTGTATATCTTGTGTTTTTTTTATATATTTTGTGATTGCAGATATTGTGACGTGTTTGGCCCTGGACTACTGTGGAAGTCACCTGATCACTGGGTCACGTGACACAACTTGTATGATCTGGCAGATACAGCAACAGGTAGATACATGTCTTTGTTACCATGATCGACCTGACAGCAAATTAAGGAATAATAATTATTTAAGGTTGTATCCTACATGACTCTTTACATAAATCTCCTTCCCAAAAGAGTTTTGCTCCGTTATAAACAGAAAATTAGCATCTGAACTTAATAACTTGATGACTCGTTTTCAAGAATGATATATTTATTATTAGATAAGGGCCCACACATTTGTTATGAGTCAAATCTGCTAATAATTTTGTTGAATCTGAAATCTATGATAAAAAAACTAAAATCAAAATAACTGAAGTACTTTTTTAAAGGAAGTAGTTTAGTTAAAATCAAACATGTCATTCACAAATGTTCAGAAAAACAGTGAAACTTTTTACAGCCATTTTTAGGTCACCTGAGCTTTAGCTCAAGTGACCTATTGCTATCCGTTTTCGTCCGTCGTCGTCCGTCGTCCGTCGTCCGTCGTACGTCGTCCGTCGTCCGTCGTCCGTCGTCCGTTAACATTTTACATTTCAAACTTAAAGTCAAGTTCTGCTGGGCCGATTGAACTGAAAGTTGATAGGAATGATCGCATCATGGTCCTGACAAAGTGTTGTTATTTTTCGGGTCAATCAGAAATACAATTTGGCTGCCATGGCCGCTATTTTGCTACTAAGTTCTAATAGGCCGATCTCACTTAAAATTGGTCTAGGAATGATCAGCTCATGGTCCTGACAAAGTTAAGTTAACATTATACTATTTTTTACTCAAATTGGTACATATTTCAACAACAAAAATAAATACTATAGACTCAGGTGACCGTTAAGGCCCATGGGCCTCTTGTCTTTTAAAGTACAGAAATTCACCAATTATTTTTCTAATTTGTAATAGTCGCTTTCTTCTAATATACAGAAATTCATTGTTTCTAAATAATATCCAGGTATTTTGATAAACATCAAATTTGATTCTGTTAGCCAATCAGAGAGAAGAATCACATTCACTTCTCTGTACAGACTTTTGCATACAGAGGATTTTCTAGTTTTATTAATAGGTTTATTTAGTTTCTGTATTGTAACTATGATTTATATTTAAATTCTCTGTTGTTATTTTTAATAAAGGGAGGAGTGAGTATAGGGATAAACCCTAATCCCCTCCAGACACTTTACGGCCACGACGCCGAGGTGACCGCTGTCCATATCTCAACTGAACTGGACATGGCAGTGTCAGCAGCTAAAGTAAGAAATACATTTGTTATTAAGGCCCCTTTCACGTATCTGGTACAACCCGTTTAATGTTTTTAAATTTAACATTTTCGGGTATAAATCCTGGCGGGTATCTTCTGTGTTTAAGTTTAACATTTTTGGGTATAAATCCTGGCGGGTATCTACTNCAACCCGTTTAATGTTTTTAAATTTAACATTTTCGGGTATAAATCCTGGCGGGTATCTTCTGTATTTAAGTTTAACATTTTCGGGTTTAAATCCTGGCGGGTATCTACTGTGTTTAAGTTTTAACATTTTTGGGTATAAATTCTGGCGGGTATCTTCTGTATTTAAGTTTAATATTTTCGGGTATAAATCCTGGTGGGTATCTACTGTATTTAAGTTTAACATTTTCAGGTATAAATCCTGGCGGGTATTTTCTGTATTTAAGTTGCAAGGCTTTGTCAAGGCTCGCCTGAAAGCAGCATCAGACAACTAGGTCCAAGCTTATTTCATAAACGAACCACTTGGGTTCAATCATTTGGATCGCGATAAACGAATGGGACCTTTGTACTGGTCAGTCGGCTTTAGGGCCAGTGTTTTTAAACCATTTTTACATCCAAATACCTGTCTTGTGTTGTAACTTAAATACAGTAGATACTTTAATTTTATTATATGCTGCATTAAAGCCATGTATCACTCGCTACCTAGAGTTGTCTTTTCTTACATTGACCTTCACCTCTGTCAATGGCTAAAGCCAAGATTCTTGGCAATACGACAAATTGATTTATAAATATCTTTATATAAAAAATGATTTGATTTTTTAAGTGATTTTTTTCTGTTTTTCCCCACTTGTTCAGGATGGAACAGTGATTGTCCACACGGTTAGAAAAGGTCACTACATGAGGACTCTTCGGCCGCCTTGCTTGACCGGCTACACTCTCAACATACCTATGGTTGTCGTGGACGAAACTGGCCATATAGCCTTGTACTGTCACGAAACATTCCCTATAGATCCAAAGGTAATACTCAAATTTTCATAAATTATCCCCTTAATACATGGTAGATAAGGTGAGGACCAATATCCCGGAACAATACAAATAAACAAAATACAGGAAAGACTTGGCTGAAAGTGAAGAAAGATGGAGGTCTCCAGTGTTGCCATAGGGCCAGGGATTGTGGTCTCTCCAATGTTCTTTATCATGTAGAAAACACAGTAGCAAACTCTGATACTGCTGTTTGCTCCTCATTAGTTGCCTTGTATGATAAACTAGCATGTAAATTAAAACGCAGTTAACCATTTCACTCCTATGGAACTTTAGTAAACTCTACCATGCATTGATCTGGATGAGTCCATTATGGTATACAGTGGTGAAAGGGTTATAGATTTTAAAGGAATTTCTGCTGTTCTGTTAAAAATAATATTAAAGTAAAATTGAATATGTATGTTATGACATGTATACACACCTAAATACAATAAAAACCTACTTTTGCAACCACTTCCATAATAAGAAACCACCTGTATTAAGAGGCCACTTTTAATGTTCCACAATGAAGTACATGTAATTTCATTGTGAACTGAACCTGTATTAAGAGATCACCTGTGCAAAGAGACCATTTTTTGGACTTCCCAAAGGTAGTGACGTTTGTTATAGATTTTAATGTACATATAATTTTCATTGACACCTATTCAGAAATTGCAAATAAGGACAAGTCAGGTTTAAACCAATGATTTATTGCAGGAGAGGTTTTCGATCCATCTGTACTCTATCAATGGAAAGCACTTATTTGCGGAAAAGTTGACCTACGGCCTCGGTCACATGATCGTGTCAGGTGAACACCTGATAACCGGAGATACTCAGGGTAACCTAAGTGTTATGGAAATCTTTGCGTAAGTATAAGTAAATTTCTCAAATCTGTTTAAGAATATTTTCTAAACCCTGCATATGTGGATAGAAAAAGAAGTACCGGTATTTGTATTCTATACTCTTCCATTTTCCATGCAATGTCATTTTTACACAAAAAAAAATACTTAAAAATTAATATCAGCATCCATTTAAATGATACATTACTTACAATTTACTGCTGTGTAAGTTATATATTATCTATATCAACATGGTGTTTGTATTGTTTGATCTTTACAGCTTGAAGACCTTGAACTCACTACCACTCCACGTGCCGATCCACTGCATTGCCATAACAACCAGCGGAAGTCACATCTTGGTTGGTTTGCGGGACGGCAAACTCATCATCATCGGTGTCAAGAACAAGTCTGACCTCAGGTGAAAACTTATCTCAGAAATCACATGATAGATATGCAGGTGTGATAGGGTCTTCCGAGGTCAGGTGACCAATTGTGGAACTTTGATTGGCTCACATTCGGTGGAGGCAAACAGAAGTTCAAATGATAAGGAACATTTCAAGAGGTTGGAAAGTCACTATCTTCATCCATATTCATCAAAAGAAAATGAAAATTCCATTTGTTGAGTCATAATATGAAATATAGCTTTTATGATTAATAATCAACAGAAAATATTAAAATCCTTTAGCTAGTTACAGCAGATACATTAGAGTACATTTGTGAAACTGAAATTAGAAAATAAAAACAATGAATAAACTGCATTGTTTTGATATTGACGATTCTAACTTAATGTAATTATTTTCTGATGAAAACATCACAGCTCATCACAGAAATAGCTGTGTATTATTGAAATGTTTTAAAAGTCATTTCAAAATGTTATTTATTTGCTACTTAAGCTTGTAAATAGTTGCAGATATGAAATACTTGGAGTGGATGGTGTTTTTTTCAAGATCATGTGATATTTATTGCCTTATTGCTAATGAACTACCGTACAGAATAATGTAAATACTGAAATATTTAAAACTTGCCACTGTTTTTCTGAAGTTTTTGAAATTTGCCATTGTGATGCAGCAGCTTGATATTTGGCTTTAAATCATGAAAATTCTGAATCAAAATTGAATTCTGAAAAAAGTGAATAATTTTTGGTTTCGCAATTGTCTAGCTTTTTTCAACGTAACCAGGTTTAGTGAATTATTTCTGTATTTTCTGGAATTACACCACTGAAACAAGTTTGTGTTTTCAACTCATTCACCCCTGAAAACACATTTGAACTCTTCCAATTCAAAGGTTGAAATAGTTCATTATGAAATTTGAGGGATAAATGAGTTAATCAGAAGCTGAAAATACTCAATGATTATAAATATATTCATATCTGTGTATAAGATTTATTTATTAATTTCTTAGGAATGATCATGCTCTTTCTAAGAAAATTAACCTTCATTCTTAAAAATGATAGTCATTTCTGTAAAATGTAATATACATACTCTTTTAAAACTATTAAAAATGGTTGAAATCGATCCATCAGTTATTTGTGATTCTCAATCACAATTAAATTCTCTATTTTTCACAGATGTATAATTTTATTTATGACCAATATTGAAAAGTGCTTTTATTCATAATCATGTGATATGTCTCTTAAAGTCAAATAATTTATTATTAGACAATAAGTATAATTTATGTAAATATTCATACTTTTAAGCTCGTAACAAAATGTATTCAGATATAAAATTAGATTGAAACATACTCAGTGTATTTAATATATGCTTAAGATGAAAAGGGGAAACAGAGTTGTATAAAGATAAGTTGGGGTTTTTTTTTGTTGTTTTTTATGGAATCCAGCTTTTATATAACAATTTAGTATGCTTTATAAAAGCAATGATTCCACAAGATTTTTTTTATATCAAAAACATTTTTGATGTTCAAATTAGAAATCACAACATATTTGCTCAGAGGCTCAAATTTTTGTCGAGTAAAAACAATTTTTCTTTTGTAATTAACATAAAAATTATCAAATTAACTTAATGGAGTTAATTTGGTCACAGGTAAGTCATTTGCAAACTTGAATTTATTTTTTGGGGGGGTTTGTAAAAAAGTGTTTGAGGGTGTTCATGTTGCATCCCCTAGACATGTATGTTTCGTTTCTTTTTCAATTTTTAACATCATTATGAAAGTCTTACCATAAAATATTTCACTATTAAGCTTTATTAAGTTAAAAGGAAGCTGTGTACTATACACTAAGGATACATAATATTTTTGAAATTATGAAATGTATGTTACTTGCTTTTCTTTCCATATTTCAACATCTATGATATCATCTTTCTGATTTTTGATGATGTCATATTTGTTCTTCAATATGATGTTATATTCCTTTATCTGTGGTGTCATGATCTTTCATCTGTGATGATGTCATATTTCTAAATATGTGACGATGTCATATTTCTAAAAATGTGATTATGTCATTTTTCTAAACATGATGATGTCATATTTCTAAACATTTGATGATATCATATTTTAAATATGTGATGACTTTTTATCCCTAAAGTGTCTTGTTTTGTCAGTTGAAGTGCATGAGAATAGATTTTTCAACTGAAGAACAAAACTAACTATTTTCCATCCTAATTTACATAGGATATAGTTGTAAATGGCATGTAAACAGTTCTTCAGGAGCTCATCCTCAAAACATAGGGTTTATCTTTAGTACATGAATAGCTTTAGTTTAGCTCATTATAAAAATTATATTTAGTGTATCTCCTTTCCAGAATCGCTTTTTCGTTAACATTAGAATTACGATTTTACTCAGTTCAGTTGACCTTTGATGATTTGATTGACCTTGACCTAGTTAATACTGTAAGTATAGTGTGCCATAATGCACGTGCGTGTGTGTGTGTGTGTGAGTGTGTTCCAAATATAACTGACATGTGAACAAATAATTTGGGCATGGTAGAAATCTAATTCTCCACTAACAGAGGGATGACCTAACTCCTGTGAGGCTGAATTATATATGGTTGCATACAGTATGTTATGTAACTGGGCTCATGCAGTCGTGATTAATTATGATATTACTTCTTTTGTTTTATTTGCAAAATCAGGAACAAAATGCTATTAAGTGTACAAGGATATCCCCATAGCTTTGCTGACCATCTACGATTTTAGTCCACCACTGTCTGGGTCGCGAGTTTGAGGCCAACTAGGGCAGTCACCAGGTGCTCGCCACAAAACGGTGATTTTTATTCCAGTTTTCCTCCCCCATCAGAAACTGGCTTGCCCTTATAAGACCATAGCTATTAATAGGACATAAATCACAATCAAACCAAACCATAGCCTCGACCGACTGTCTACAATCACTAACCCTCCACCACTGGGTGGCGGGTTTGAGACCTGCGTTGGGCAGTCGCCAGGTACTGGCTGTAGGTCAGTAGTTTTTCTTCGGGAAATTCTGGCTTTCCTCCACCACCAGCTGGCTCGTCCTTAAAAGACCATAGCTGTTATTAGGACGTAAAACCGAAACATATCAAACCATAGCCTTGGGTTGTGAAAGATATTTTAAATCTACAGTGAAATTTATCTAGATACTTAAACAATAGTTCACAAATGTAAAACTATGGATAAAGGACTGTTGGAACATGATACAAATGTTTGAATGTTCCTCTCTATATATACATGTACCGTAACTTAAATTTGGAGAACTGTTTAAAGTTATTGTCACCATTTCCAGAGGTTCTATTTTATTAGAGTAATATTTCCAGTGATTAAGGTGTTAATTTATCAAAGTACTATTTTATTTGGTGGATAAGATCACTGCTACAAAAACAGTAAAAGAGTTTTTATTTTTTCTTACATGTGCACTGGGCAATTAAAATAGTGAAATAATGGACTTAAGTGATCTATTGATATAAGTTCACTTCACAATTAAAAGAGTGAACTGGGGAAGTACTTAAAAAAAACACTCACAAAACATCTACATTCATTAAGTTGGCTTGAAACTAAATCATTTCCTTTAGCAGTTAAAAACATCTGTGGCCTTTGCATCAGAATAACAATTTATTCTATAGAACGACTGAAGATGATAAAGAATTATAAACTTACTGGTAAGGAAAGCCTTAATTTAGGCGCTAACTGCACTTAGAGAGAAAAAAAGTAACCCTCGTGAATGACATTTGTGTTAACTTTGCATGGGTTTGTAGAGTAAAACCTTGATATAATGCCCTCACTTGCTGCCAAAATGTTTCACAGTTCTTCTTTTTTGAAGAATTTATTTATATGTTTCACTCAATTTATTGCAAAATCCTTTTATAACGCCTATTTTTTCTGGACAAATGGTGGCAGTATAACAAGGTTTTACTGTCCTAGATATTTTAACGTCAAACAATGTGAATTCCGACAGTTTTATTTAAAGTATTTTGATCTTGTTTAAGTAAAATCATCATAATTCTCTTCCATCTGTGCAAGATTTATATTTGTGTACTAGTTTATGATAATTTCAATCTATATAATTATCAATTAGATATCTCACAAACTTTCAACAGGTACATTTTAAAAAGGATACCTATTTATTCTTGTTCACAGGTGATTTTCACCCCAAAAAATGTCCCCTATGACACATTCCCAAAATTAAATATTTGTGAGAATAAGAAAGGACAGTGTATATACATGCATGTGAGATCCAATTTTCTAATGTGAATTCGGAGGAACCATTCAGTAATTTGTATTCCAGATGTTAGTAGTAATTGCTGGAGACAATAAAAGGTTGATTGATGTAATGAACCAAGGCTTCTGCTTGGCCACACTTTCATCCTGTCTAGTTAATTAACTCTAGTGGGTTTATTACCAGGTATGTAAGGTAGTATAGAACAGTTTCTGCATTCCTCGGTGCGATGTATACGAGGCATGCTTGAGTGAAAATGAGAATTTAAAATGCTGGAGATGTCATGATCCTTTCCTGTTGATTTTGTTCGCTATTCTGAGAATATTACTTATTTAAGGATCCCTGTCACGTTGCTCTGTATTTATTTGTATATAGAGTAACCTCCCCTTATTTTCATTTTGGAAATAACTGTAGCACAGTTGGGTCAGGACACTTCCGTTGACTGGATATCTCTGTTCATTTTGCTCGAGAGATAATTGCTGATTTTGGTTCATTGGTTAGTTTTCATCTCTAATTATTTTTGATGAATTTGTATGTTTGGGGTATTTTTTCAGAAAATATTTATCAAAGCTATAGCCATGACAACACAATTGGTTTCCAGTGTGTAGCTTTTTGGATTTTATTTTCAGTGGCACAGGGACCCTTAAACATTACATGATCTTAAGAATGAAAAGAAAAGTCAGTTCCTATAGTTTAAGAATGTTTGGTGTATAGAGTAATAATACAACACTGGATTGTTTGAGTGTGAAAGCATGCTGTCACCATTATTTGATACCACTGTATGTTCTTGTCAGCCATGTTGTCATAGCTGATTTAAGTTTAGGAATACTATGTATGGTTGTGAATTCTATGCAAGTATGGTTTGTAAATTTGAAAATTTTATTTCATTTTCAAGAGATCTTCATTTGAATAGTTCAATTTACTTCAGTAACAAATGAAAGATTTAAGAAAAAAATAAATAATGTAATACAACTATCTGAAACGTTAAAAAAAAATAGTTTAAATTTAAAAAATGTTTGTTACGATTCAATATAATTGTTTTAAATTGAAGAAAAAATTAAATTGAAAAAAAAAATATTTGAAGAAAAAATCAGTTTGTTACAGTTTAGTCTAACCATGAATTGTGTTTGGTTTTGATTTTTAGGTTACCGAAAAGGAAGCCACTGTTTGATTTGTAGGTCACAATACAAACACCCAGGTATAAACTGATTAGTCGTAGAGCATGTGAATAACACAGATCAAGATGCAGTTGTTCAAAGCATCATTAGCTTAACCAAAAACAAAACTAACTCAAATATATTATCAGGTATGTTTTCAAAAATATGGACATTTTCCCACAAAATTGTAGTATTTTGATGATCGAGCTTCCATGCAGTTTGATGTTTGTCAGTGAATTTGAACTTTTTTTACACTGAGTTCATGATCTTTCTCGTGACTTACGAATGTTGTACAACTTCTGTATATAAAATTTATATAACTGTATTATGGTCAATTGTACATGTATATTCGTAAATCATACTTTTTTAAAATCTCGAGACAATGAAAACAAAATCATATTTAAAAATATTTGGTATTGTTTGAAACTTTTCTCAGATATGTTTTTAATTACTTATCATGCTTTGAACAATTGAACGGAGACTGCAATTAATGACAATGCATACCACACTTGGTGACAACACTTTGTAAGGCAAACTAAAATACACCGGTGTTTCTGTTAACAGCTTGGGGAAGCATAGCATAGTTAGGTAAGAACATCTGAGTATTTCAGTAATCTTGTTTAGGCTGTACTGAAAAGCCTGACACGACAGATAGTCGGTTGGCACAGTGGATAGCTACTTGCCTTTCACTAAGACGGCTGGGTTCCACTCCCTGATCAGACAAAAAGATATTGAGTCACTTGCCTTACCATGTGACTGCTGTTGGGGTACTCCGGTTTCTTACCACATTTAGACCCCCAGCGTGCTTTCAACCAGGCTAACAAGAGTGTTTAATATTAGATAAAAATCTTGTTTCTTAATTGTTATAAAATAAATAAAGTTTAAATGATATTTATATTATAGTCAAAGACGTTTTTTTGTGTAATTTAGACAAACACGCTTGTTTAGATATTACCTTTTTATGATCTTGTAGCAGTCCTATATGTATAAAATGCCAAATACAACTTTTTCAACCTTCCAGTCTCGTTCAATAGTCATCAGAGTCTCAATCAGTCACAGCATGTTTGAATATACTTAAATATACTAGTAATAGCTTGCTGGTAACACACAATGTTTTTGCGAACTTTTTAACTTGAGGCACCCTTGAGCTATTTGAGAAATCATTATCTAATTAAATTAATTCTCTAGACAGTGGGATTAATCATACTTTGAAATAAAGATTCATATTTTATTTTGGACTATGTATGAGAGAATACAAAAAAATCATTCAAAAGTTCTAGTTTTTTTGGATAATTAGATAAGATTGAAACCAAAAGTTTCTTTGTTTCTTAAAATAGAATAGAAGTTATTTTTAGATTTGTACATGTGTGTTTTCCTGTTTGTATATAATTCCACAAGCATTGCAAAGCAAAACTAACAGTGATAGTTTGGGAAAAGCTTTCTATGTAAGACCTATTTATAATCTGGATTTAACTCAATACTTTTCAAATTATATATGTAACCTGGTATGCTTTACTTATCGATTCTTGCTTGTAAGAAAGAAAAGATAACTCTTTGAATGGTACTAATTGCCTCCCCTTGAAGGAGGTATTTTCTTGTAAATTTCAGTTACAGACTAACTAGTGCTCGTTTTACTCTTTCACCCCTAGGTAACTTGAGTAGACTCTACCATAAATTTATCTGGATGAGTCCATTATGGTCTACAGTGGTGAAAAGGTTTTAATTATTTGTCACCTTAAAATATCTCTTTCAAGTTATCTTATGATTAAAATAAAACTTTCCTGCATAATTCAGTGAAGTTTTTATTTATGTTTAATTTCATTCTTATGTATTCTTTGGAAATTACACTTTAGCAGTAGTAATTAGTATTAGTAAATGGAGGAAGCTTGTATATGTACATTAAAAAGAATTTTCTGTATTTTGAAAAGAGTGACCAATTTAATTTTAAGAAAATTTGAAATAATAATACAAAATATGTATGATGATATTAATTGCTTTTCAATAATTTATCAACATAGTTATTACATACTTACTGAAAAAGAAAATGTTTCACGAATAACTCATTTCACCCTTACACCACTGTAGATCATAGTAGACTTATCCAGATCAATGCATGGATAGAGTTTATTAAAGTTACATAGGGGTGGAAGGGTTAACTCTGTTGGTTAAAAATAGACATTTTTCCTGATTTAGATGTACACTGTTCTTAAATGTTATATACTTACAATGGGATATGCTAACACAAAGTAGATAATGTACAGAAAAGTGTTTCTTTTCTATTTTCATTTATGACTAGACATGTCCAGTATCTGGTTGAAATTTACAAATTTCCAGATCATTGTTGTTTTTGACATTTATAAGTCTGTAATATAAAATTACAAAATTTTTGACTAACTTGATTTTTTCAACAAGGTTTATAATCACGTTTTCCTTAGTTTGATAAAAAAAAATGTTAAAAGAAATATTTTTAAAAATATTCATGTTATAGAATTTTAGTATAATGTTACAAATCATGTGTTTCAAAATAGAGAGGTGAAGCTATGTATGAAACAACAGAAATTGTAAGTGTCTCTTCCATGATTTTATAGTTAAAGTTAATTTATCAGTAATAGTTGATACTGTTCATAAATAGGGACATTTTGGACATTGGGATCAAAAATTGGGAACATCAAATTTCATAATTTATTTTTCGCAGTGACTATGCTAATATAATATAATCTCACATGAGGCGTGTAATGTATGTTCAAGCTCTCATTTCATTGGTTGGTCTTTGAGGAATGGTATTTTAATCCGGCATCAAATTCCTTGACATTAAGTATTAATAATGTGGTTATGTATGGATTGCCATTTTCGTTTACAGAAACAGGATATATTTTTGAACCATGTGATCCCAGATTTTCTGCTTTGAACCAGCACTTTCCACCTATACCACAGATGGGAATATTGGAATCAACTTTATGATCTATTATCATGAACTTTCACATGAAAAACATGTTTGCTCGTGTCTGTTTGTAAAACAAATAAGGTTATCAAGATTCATCATGGGCCAAGATTTTAAGATTGTAAAATTTAAAAAAAAAAAGTTTAAAAGTTAATTTCTCTTTTATGTGACATGTACATTTTCATTACTGTCATTGTAAGTGCCATACATCACGCATAAAATTTAATGAACCTTTTTGGTTTCTGTGCTTCCACATCTTTTTGACATTAATAATGGAAACAAAAATTGTAAAATGCATAATGTATTAACACAGGGTTAACCAGACAGATATGAAAGGGAAAGCTATCTTTTGTCCGTAGGAACTAGCTCTGGGAGCCTGTTAGCCATATACATTTTATAGAACTACAAATCAACATGAATACATGTAGTTTGGGGAAAAAAACTTCTCCAATTGTCTGGTTTGCACCAAGATTTTAAAGATATTATGTCTGTTTTGAGTTCATTTTGAACTGTGTAATAATACTTTTGATGCATGATTTGCCAAAAAGACGGTTTGTGAAAGATGAAACCATATTTCATATTGTAAATATCTCAAATATGTTTACATAGCAAAAACATGAAAACATACAAAAATTTGGTTGTTGTATTATGAATAGTTAAAATACATTGCCATGAATTTGTTAATTAGTAATATTTAAGTGCATATGTATGTTGAGTTTGTTTTAATTTGTAGATTTAAAACAATTTGCATTTTTTGTGAATTTGTGCAAAATTCATCTCTAAAATTGGAAGTTAAAGCAATTTTAAATTGGAAGTTGAAGCAATTTTAGAACCATCTTTACAAGTCTGATTCATTATTAGTAGAAATGACTATTTTCATTTATATTGTGTCACCTGTGTCGGGACAGATTTTGTTACATGTGTTTCAAAGTAAGTCGTTTTTATCCCTATGTGTGCCAATTTTATTCACCTGTTCCCGTAAAGCATAATTACAAGTAAGACTAATTTGTTGATAAGTATGCTTGTTTGGTGTCTTAGATTTTAAAGATTGAGGAGTTGAATTTATCAGTGAACCATAGCTTTTCGTTGTAAATATATATATATATTTACCCGACTCTGGTGAATTTTATAAGCTTTTTGCTTCCTGTCGTCCTTGTTTTCTGCAGCCTTTTTTTTGTGTAATTCTAACAGGTTCAAAAAAAGGGCAACTCAATTATCTATTAATGAGATGGATTATTTATTAAATAACAGAGCTTCCTGTTTCTGATTTACGACAATTATGCTCATTTATGCCGTCTGTAGAATATAATACCGTACTCTCCTTGATCTTATGTTTGTATATTTGTGTATATTTTAGTTAAGTGTGTAAATCTTCTCTCACTAGAAATTTCTCTTGAACAACTATTGTAAAATAATACTCTCCTCTATCATATGTATGTATGTATGTATGTATGTAGGTTAGAAATATCCCAAACGAGGGTACAAAATTTGAGACAAAGAAATCCTTGTCAAGGTTTTTGAACCCAAACTATGTATCTGAGGGTGGGGTATTTCTATCCTGCATAAGATACATAGGATAGGGTTATTTTGTTTGAAAACTTGAACTTTTCTAATACTGAACCAATTTTAAAAGTATATCTTGCCCAATGGAAAGAGCGAAGAAAGTTTGGTTCATGAAAAACATGGCAATAAATGTATATTACATGACAAACTGGCAAATCAGAATAATATGACGACAAACTTGGGTCGGCATGATGTCATAATATTTTCTTTGCATTGTGATGTCATGCCCATGCAAGATTAATATAATCTTTCTCCATCTTGGGGTAAGACAGAAAAACATTCAACCCAAAGGTGAAAGAGGGCCAGACCATTGTTATGAATAGGGGAGTCTAGGGTGAGACGAGGAAATTTAACACCGGTAAAAGTGTGGATACACCTGTCCAGGGTGAGAGAAAGATTGATCTTACATGGCTTTCCGTCATGGGGAAACTTTATCTTACATGACTTTCCATCATGGGAAAACTCTATCTTACATGGCTTTCCAAGGCTTTCAATCATGTGAAAACTCTATCTTACATGGCTAGCTATGTAAGAATTTCTAGTCTAGCTGCCAAAGTGATTTCTTTATATGCATGTTCTACAATTCTAAAGGCACAGGGAGAAGCCAAACAACTGTATGATATAATAAGTGCAATATTTATTCCATTTGTATGAAATCAATCTTTGTACATGGCACTGAACAAATACTTTTCAGTAATGATGATATTATTATTTTCATTACATATATATATATATACACAAAATATAATAATACTTTATTAAGACTACTTTGAAGAAAAGTAATTCTATTGTATGATGATAATACTGTACATGGAGCAAGGGAAATACCGGAGAATAAAATACATACAAAACTCGAAATTCTGTTTGTTTTAATATTTCACAATAAAACTCGGATGAAGCACAGGTACTTAAAATGAATGAGAAAAAAATACTAATGTACTTATATATAAGTCTATTAATAATAAAACTATAAACTGTTTATCGGTGGATTTTTCTCATTCATGGTAGGTACCAGTGGACTAAAGATTATACATTTACTGTTATAAGTACACAAATATTTTAATATCCCACAAGATCATTATAATCATGATAGTGCATGCAAATTACAGCAGGGCCAGTAACCATACTTTGAGTACAAGGATCAAGTTTGCTCTGACTTGGTGCTTAAAAAGGCATTCCAAACCAAAAATCTACCCTTAAAAAGACTTTTTAGGAGAACAGCTGAAGGGATATTGACAAAATGTGGCAGGGTGTTGCATTGAGGAACAGTGATCAAGGAAATGGAGATTTGTCCGTAACTACTGAGACTCTACCTTATATGGCATGGAGAATCATTTATACAAGGAAATTCAGTACTACGGGCCCTGCATAGAAGATGCAGATGCCCTTTTGAAAAAGCTGTGTTTGTCTGTCTGTTTTAAATGGTGATACGCTGTGAAAGGTAGATGTGCAATAGGGATTTAACAAATTTCTAAGGCCAATGTTAGGGTCACATTAAAGTAGGTTGGGTGTATGGTCCTTGTCTTGAAATCCAAAGAATTCATTTTTTTTTATGATTCACTGATATTTAGATATACATGTACAGAAGGGGTTTACAATGTTACGGTCAAGGTTTCCGTTACTATAATTAGACCATGTGGATTACGGTGAGGTACATGGCGGAGCCCTTGTTGATTTGTCCGTGTTCTGGTGTATAAATGAAGATAATGGCCTCTTTGAGACAGAAGTGTGGGATCCTGTAGCCAAAATGGGGATAGATATATATATCATGTCCACACCGTTCGAACTCCGTTTTTCGTTAGAACGCTTAATCACCATGTTCTTCCGGTTTTGATTTGGTCTTTTGGTTTCCTTTGATGTTAACCCTGTCAACAGATTATTTACATAGCAAAGCAAGCGATATACTAGTCTCTATAACGTACACAATACATGTGTAGAGTTTACACGACCAAGCTTGCGTTTGATGAGTTATTGATCACAAAGTTTTAGATTTTGTGCTGCCAACTTTTTCAATTGTACTTTGTCCAGTTTGCCATTATAAAGTAATGGGAATATTTCAAAACGCAAGAAATATTTCGGCATCTCTCCCATACCATCTAAAGTTTCCTCCTTCAAAAAGGTATCCTTGCAGAAATTCTCAACAGCTGCAGGGGTAACGTCCATTTCCTCGACAGGAATAAAGCATACACAGACCTCTTCGAGCAGATGATCGTCAGGCACTCCCACCACAACCACATTTTTGATGCCAGGCATACTCTGGATTTTTTCCTCTACAAATCCAGGTGTGATTTTCATAGTTCCTCGAGAGATGATATCTTTCTTTCTTCCTGTTATGATGAGAACTCCCTCGTCCTTCAGGTAGCCGATGTCGCCAGTTCTGAACCATCCTGTCGCTGTGAACACTTCTTTTGTCAGTTCATCATTTGCAAAATACCCTTTGGACAGTGCCTTGTGACGAATTTGGATGTCCCCGTGTATTCCAAGCGGAACGGTGTCCTCCGATCCATCAACAATTCTCAACTCCACCCCCTTATTGATTTTCCCAACGTACCCGGTACAGTATGGCTGACCTTCAGACAATGGAATTAAGGACACACTGGCGAAGCATTCTGTAAAGCCATAGCCAATAAAGAACAGCTTGCAGTATCGCCATACGGTCTTGATGAATGCGTCGTCGATGATTTGACCTCCAGAGAAAAGCATATGTAGTCTAAAGCCGTCATCTTCTACTTTCCCTAGTGTGTCGATAATATTCTGCAGTAAATATGGCAGAAAACATCCTCCGTTACATTCTTCCTCCTGTATCATTTTCCAAATTTGCATCGCCTCTTCCTTTGTTGGATTGGCCGAGGTTGAGGTAAATATCATCTGGTTGCCATATAGGAAATTTGTGATTGGTGTTCCTCCCATCCAACTAAATGTACGGTCGTTGAAAATAGTGAACTTTGACGGCCCTCCGAAGTGAGAATACGACGGATTGTCTGCATCTGTAGGGGTATTGCAAGCAATGTTGAAATGGGTGAAGAGGACCAACTTAGGAGTCCCTGTACTGCCAGAGGTACCAAATATCATGGCATCATCGTCTGTGTCGACGTTTGGCAATTCTGATTTTCTATCTGGCGAGCAAAACTCCGATTCTAGATCATAGAACTGATACTTCTCATTTTTTCTGAGAAGTAATATATGATTATTTCTATCTCTCTCTTTGAACGCAGATATCAGCTGTGCTGCGCCGTTGTCGTTTGTCGGATCTATAAGCAAGAATCTGCATTTGCATATGTCGATCATTCCCAAGGCATCACTTGCGTCTCTTGTCAGTATATTGATATGAACTGAAACAGCTCCTGCAAAGAAGATAGCGAATTCTCCAATGATCCACTCGAGCGAATTTTTCCCATAGATGGCAATCTTGTCGCCCTTTTTAACTCCCAGAGATACAAGGTATTTGGCTATCTTCTCAGTTTTCTGCAGAAATTCCTGATTTGTGATCGATCTCTTTGAACCAGACAGTAGCCTTTCAACGAAGGGAACAACATCGGGGTAAACTTCGGTCCTACTTCTCATGCGATCGACGATGGTCTTGTTGTCATATTGCAGGGTGTTTGGCTCGTTCCAATAACTCAGTGTCGACATATTTGTGTGGGAGGTTGATCCTGGATCATAGAAATAATATTTGAAATAGTTATATATATATTTTTTCAATCAATTCTTACCGATTGAACGCATGTGTAAGCAATATTGTCATGCATTTCTTGTTAAAGTGCATTGAAAACTTGCCTACAGCTTACAAAAAAATATTAAATTATTAAGAAACCGTTTTGTATTTTGATACAACATTCTATATGTATGCTTAATGTAAAGTGTATCACTGTATCTGTTATAACTGGGAAGGAGATTTTAAGAGTTATCTTAACTTTTGAGTGATTTCCAAAAGTGCTTTTTTCTGGCTTAGAGTAACTTTCCCTGTCATATTTATGAAACAATGTTAAGTGTAGGCTTTGCAATTGAACAGTAAGTTCGATTCCAGCAATGTTTAATTTTTTGTTTGTGTCATTTTCAAACATTCAAATTTTGAACGACTATAACACTGTAGAATGCATCGAAACACGTGATTTTTTTTTATTTTATGAAATAATTCGTTTAGCAACAATAGTGACAAGGGTAAATGTATAGTTTGTCTTGTTGGTATTCCTTTCCGTTGTATCATACACGGTTTTTGTATTAAAGAGGATTGGTCTACTTTCAAATGAAGAGTTTGAAGTTACCTCGGCGGTTATTGTTAATGACTGAACCGCTGGATTATGTCGTGACAAAATAGGCTCGAAGTTAGCGATTTGATTGGTTTCAGGTACATAAACTGACCAATGGCAAGGCTAGGAGCGACGTCGCACTCGACTTGATATGTACCGTTATGTTGATGCGTGATTTTTTGATACATCAAAGGATCAAACTAGTCGTATTGTATCATCTGCAAAGCAGCGCATACAGAGCCTTCTATTAAGTTATGACATATTCTGGGGGTGAAGAGAACGTAAGTGAGCGTAACCCCTGGAATTTTGAGGATTTATAAAAGTGAATATTGGTTCAATTATATATGTCTAAGAGAAAATTGGAATATAATATTTGTGATGTCTGACCTGTCATCTCGCAAACTTTCTATGACTAATTAAAACAGTGGGTAATGGTTAACCTTCACAACCGGCGGCAACTTACACAACCGAATACCTACAATACTCTTGTAAGAAACGTAACAACGTCTAGTTGAACAGTTTTTTTTATTTTAACATTGGAAGGGCAACATAGATCAGCAGCATCAATTAAAGGCTTGAGATTTTCTATTTTCTCTTTTGACTTGCACGTACTAACTGTCTTTCGGGACGGTGTCTACCTACATTGTAATTACCTATAGATATTAACATTGTTTTAGTATGATGTAATTGGATGAAGTATCATGCCCCAGTGGTTATGATATTTCAGTGAGTTAACTGAAGTCGACATTTTAGTAAATTACCTTATTTGTTGCGATGACAGAAAGCCCCGAAGTTTAACATACGAAGAATCTGATCTTCGGTTTGTGTGTAGGGGTCGTCATGATAACAATCTGTGTATTTTCTTCTGGAAGGGGCTTTAATATGCAATGCCTGTGCCTAATCCAATTGTATCTTCGATGTAATAAAATTTATTTTAAATGATAGCAATCTGTATTTCTACAAAAGGTATCGGAATCTCTCCCATCAGAATATCCAACATCGGTCATTTTGCATGAAGGTTTGACCAATAAATATCTAAATATCCTTTTAGTGTCCCTTCAACCATTATATGATAATCGTCTTATTTCATCTTGATTAAAACTCAAAAGAAATAAACATGTTGTAAATTTAAATCTTTTACATGTAGTGATTTTACCGTGTGGAAAAATCAGATATATTGTGTATATAGTTCATATTTAGGCTGTGTCTCACGAGTCACACGTCATCATTTGCTGTTAACTGTTTCGATGATTTTTCAACCAAGGCCAAAACAAAAGGAAATTGTAGATAGAAGTGGCAAATCCGTTCTTGCCACATAAATGTACTCCGACTTGATACACACATGTGTAGATAGGGTAAAACTGACCTATAACCCCGATACCGTTATCGCATGGCTATACCACTAAAGTAACAGCGGTTAAGGGTCCCTGTCCCATTACAGATAAAACACAATAATTCCGCTATAGTTTTATTTACATACAGTAAGCTCCGTTTAATTTTGTTTTACCTGCCTCTCACCAAAAATATTTGGGTGTGATAGTTATACAATCTAAATAAAAGGAGACTTGTAGTTCCTCTCCTCTACGACTGACTGTCAATATAGATATTTTAAAACGACGTTAAACGCTTACATACGGCATGTTCGATCAAAACACATATTGTATGTGGATATGGTAACAAACATCAATATACGACAGCATTGACACATCCGTAATAAGCAAATTAACTGTTACTTATATTTACCTTTGATGAGCTGATAATTCGTTCCTGTGTCCTCGGACATGTACTCGCACTGATTGCTCTTACGATATATATCTACAGTAAACACCTGGCAGTCCTAATTGATGTTACCATTACATGGTTAGACCGATTGTACCGGGTAGATCACGAATGTACCATTAATGGCCTGATATACTTCGGGTTGGTCATTCACAACCTATTTTGTTCTATCCGTATTTTTCGACCCGAACATCGATTTATCTTTTAATATAGCTATACACATACCACTGAACCGCTAGGTTAGTGTAAATTTATATTCCATAACTAAACGCGATAGTAACTAATCAGAACGACCCATATCCTGACCTTGTTATCGCTTACATACATGCCTTTATATGACATATATAGCTTATTAAACTCATGCACCCTTGGAATTTCATAATGAACTATTCCAACCTTTGAATTGGAAGAGTTCAAATGTGTCTTCAGAGGTGAATGAGTTATTACCACTATATAATCCTAGTTATCGACAAAAAAGACACCCTCGGTTTCAGGGGAAAATCGCACTTACGCTGAAAGGCTCCGATTGTTTTGAACACAAATACGAATTGAATTGAAAACTTTTTCTCGTTAACATGAATAATTTATCAGCAACTTGATAAAAAGTAAATAAGCGTACGTGCGATTTACGTCCTATTAACAGCTATGGTCATTTAGAGACGTGTCAGGTTTTGGTGGTGGAGGAAAGCCGGAGTTCCCGGAGAGAAATACCACCGACCTAAGGCCAGTACCTGGCAACTGCCCCTCGTAGGCCTCGAACCCGCGACCAAGTGCTGGAGGGCTAGTAGTAGCAGAATGTCAGACGCCTACAGGTAGTCTCCGAACAATTTTATGCTCCCTATTGCAGAGCTTGGCAATGCCCAGCTTTTAGCCCTAGTGTTGAACGTTCGCCCAAGTAGGGAAAGGTCATGAGTTCTGCCCCCAGGCCGGGATATATATATATATATGTTAACGTCCTTTGAAATGTTAGTTTAATACGTTCAGCATTTACGGTAATTCCAACAATCCGGGCCCGTTTTCAACATAATGTGACCAGTTGGAATACGGTGCTGGGTGCCTTCGACATGATATTTCAGTGAGGTAGCACTCTGAAATTGACAATAGGTACACGCTATTGTGCGGACACAAATAAGTCAAGCACAGAGGCTGCATACATCGCACAAATGGAAGAGTGTCCTTAAATAAAACCAATAATACTAATATAATCTACTGAAGGGTGTCGCTCTACATAGAAGAACTTTGAGTCTTCATCCTAGTGTGATATCATGCTGTTGTTCAGTGCTTGTCATTAGATCGTCTCTAACATACATGGGTAATTTAATTAACATGATTTAGAGGTTATTATATGACCATTTTGATATCATATCAGCCCGAGAGTCCCTATATCAGCCCGAGGGGCCAAAGACCCCGAGGGCTGATAAGGGGTATTATATCAAAATGGTCATATTATAAACTTTTTATCATATGTTCAAGTAACAAAAAATCAAGTCAACAGAAAAAACAATTAGATAATTTAATCAACAATGTCAACTGAAACAGATTATTACAATCGAACCTTGCATTCTTCTCCGCATTTTCCTTATCAATGAGGTCATCCAATTCAAGTATTCTAGACGCTAGAGAATTAAGTATTTCCTCTCCCTGGTTCGTTGACATTTTGTTTGTTGACGTCTGCTCAACACACTGTCTAAGCAAAAAACCAACTGACAGCGCAAATCCGGATTTTACTCGGAACGCTTCGGACGCTTCCCATATCCAATACAGAAGTAGAGGTGTTCCGAACAGGGGGTGCATTACGAGAATTGTTATCGCATGGGGGTGCATTACGAGAAACTTATCACACGGGTGAGCGGAAGTGGTATCAGGAGTGGTCAGAAGTTATCAAATATGCAAAAACACTCATATTCTGAGTAAGCATATGATAAAATTGCTTAACAACCCTCCAACAGTAACTTAAAAGCATATCAGACCGGGTGACACACTAATAAGGGACATACCATGTCTTGATTCACCAAAACAAACCGAATGATAAATTTTGTCATAAGTACGCCAGATACTGTAAAAGTGTATTAAGAGATCTACCTCAAAGTAACAAAGTTGTCTCTTAACACAAGTGGTCTCTTAATACATGTTGTTTAATTACTGGAAGAGTAAGATAAGATGTTCCCATTTCATGACCAAGATGCAATCTGGTTAAGATTGATGACCCCCCAACGGAAGAGCTTCTGTGTCAATAAATTCATTAGGTAAAATCTGTATTAAGAATGGCATGAGGGGCAAAGATTTTGTTAAATTTGGAAAATTGATATGGGAAAGAAATAAAATGGGTCAAAAATGATTTATTTCTATGAGTGATAGCTGACTAACTTTGGAAAATAAAAGTCAATATTCGAAGTTGGGGAAACATGACAACAAACAAAATCTAACAATACAACCATATCTATTTAAAAAACATATTACTAGATCAGTGTTAAACACAGACACCACAGAAGGGACACCTACCCAGAAACTGACTCATTTTTACTGGGACCTTAAGTAAAAAAGCATTTCGCAGAAACTCGTGATCTCATGGGCGCCGCCATATTGTTTTCAACGGTTGATGATGGTACGTTCATATTTATGCT